TCTTTCCTTTCAAAAACAATATTTGATTATTTTTTTCAATGAAAAAAATTGGAAAAATTTCAAAATTTGCTAATTTTTATCATGGTGAAGCTCTCCATTCGCCAATAAAAACAAACTTCAAAAAGTAAGTTGAAAAAGTTTGCAGTTTTTTTCTTATAAATGCCTTTCCAAAGATCCTTCTCTGGATGTCTTCCAAGTCAACCGTTCATTTCCTGAAGGATCCGGAAGCCGGGAAGATTGGAGATGTTTCACGCATTCGCGCAGTTTCCAGTGAATTCGCGACTAATCCCACGCCCCTCGCACCTTTTCCCGCATGCCTTTTTTCTCCCGCCCTTTCCAATCGCCACCATTCAGAGCCGTTTCTCTATTCTCGAAAGAGACCCTGCAAAAACGATATTTCTGAAGCGGAAATCATCGCTCTTTTGTCAATCTCGTCCTCTTCGAGCTTCGTCTTCTTGTTTTCCACAAGTCAGTTGACATGAGTTCATCCAATTTATCAGAAAATCTGCTTCCTTCTTCAATTTGTTTTCTATGAATTTTGAAGCTTTGGCTGGTGGAGTTTTCTGAAAAGTTGGTTTTTGTTATATCAATCGTCGAAGAAAAACTATGGTTATAGTTTTTTTGCAAAAATAGTTTTCACTTTTTCTTTTTTACGAGCGGACTTAAAGACATCTAATTTTTGAGTTCCTGAATAAAGTTCACACATGTTAGAAACTCCAGATATTGAAGTTTCAAAGCCTTTTTTTCATCAGAAATCCTAATAACTAATTTTAACTAACTCGAAAAAAAATTTTCAGGATTTGGAATACCTAATTTTTTTCCCGGTTAGAAATGAAAAAGAAGAAGAAAACATTCTTTTCTCACATTTTTCTTCAAAATTCGAATGTTAATTCTCAAAACCGCCATTATTCAACCAGCAGATTTCTGTCTGCAGTTCATTCTAGAGTATTCAAGATATTGAAAACAAAAAAATCTTTTTTTCATCGTAAATCCTGATAAATTAACCACGATTTCTTCAAACTTCTAAAATTAACCCCAAAATAGGCCCAGGTGGGCGTTTTCTCAACCTTAAATAATAAACGAACCCGTAGCCAGGGCGTGCCCTCAGATCTTTGCATTCAAAAATGAGAAGAAACTCGAACCTTTTCCTCCGCTTCCATCTCAAAACTTTTTCCTACTTGGAAAAGTGCAATCAAAAGTTTCTTGAAATTATTATTTATTTTTTGCCAAAGATCATCGAGTCCGCTAGTTTTAAAGCTTTCGCCATGGCTATTGACTTCATGCTTCTGTTTGAAGCAAGATATTTTTGAAGCGTCCAGCGAGAAGAAAATTTACTAAAATACTTAATTGTTTCTCATTCACACTTCTCCAATCTCAAATACGTTACATCTAATTAAAAGTTTTATAGGATACTTGAAGTGGAACTGTCATACTTGAGCTGCGTCTTCCTTTTTGATCAAATTGCTGATTTTTGAAAAAATTTCATCGCGTCCAAGAAAATCTGGAAGTCAAACGTTTTTCCGAAGCTTTCTTGGAATTTTTGTCTTTCAAAACCTCAGAAACAATCTACACAGCCTATCGATTTATCTTAACCTAGAGAGCGGGTTTCCGGAAAAAAAGTTCTACAAAAATCTGGATTTCTGTAGTTCAAACTTTGAAGAAAATCGCTCTTCATTTCAAAATGCACATGGTTAAGAACTACAGCCAAGATTTGTGTTGAAAGTCACGCGATTTATGTCAGTTTCCTCGTTTAAAAATTCTTCTTTACGTTCATTTTAAATGACCCTCCCAGGTTTCCTTGACCGACTGGGGGTGTCCTTTTCCGAGGCTTGTTTGGCTTTTCATCATGTCACTTATTCTCCGCTGGTGGCTTCCTCGCTCAATTACCGCTAGAGTTTATTGCCATCTCCACTAGGAGAAGAAGCTTCCTCGTTTCTCCTACTCATCCTCGTGTTATTTTTTCTTCGATTTTTTTTCTTGGGTAATTATTAATCAGCGCTTTTTAAAAGTGGGGATCTGGTTCTTCATTCGTGATTTATGAAAAAAAAATGGTTTCGAAAATATTTTTTTTCAGGGCTATCATTTTGATTCTAACTTTAAGCCAATGAGTTTATCAATTTTCGGCGACTATGTGAGATTCATTGTCATTTTTAAATATTGATGGATTCTAGGAAAGGTCGAACTGATGGATGTTATTCAAAACGATTTTTGATTTTGATGGAAAAAAAATCTAAAAAAAAACTTCCGTAAAAATTCGAACATCGTGAAGAAATAAAAACGTGAAATTGCTTCAAAATGATAAAAAAAAAGGCGTTCCAAGGTATAAAAGTACAGAAAATCGTCTATTCCATATTCATTTGAATTAAAACTTCACTTAAGAAAAATCCGATTTGTGCTTCTCTGGAAAAAAATCAAAAAAATTGTTCCGAATCAACTTCAAATAGTTTATATTCGGCTTGAATTTTTTTTTTCATTTCCAGATCAGTTCTCTGTTTTTTTCCTAATTCTTCTCACTCTAGTATTAAGATGCGCCTAATTGTTTTCAAGTGGTGGAAAATAGCTGGCTTTACCATTTACCATTTCAATTAGTGACCCCTTTCAATGAAAGCAAGAAGTAACAAGGGTTACTAATTTTTCTGGTTCAAGAAAAAAATTTGGAAGGCTTTGTCTCGATCAAGAGTCACAAAGGCGGAACTAAACCCTTTTCGTGGTAAATTCCCTATTCAGAAGTCTCAAAAAAAAAGACACAAGCTGGGTGGTTGCAGTCAAATTTTTTTGGTTTTGTTAAGGTTCATTTTTTTCAAAAATTTTTTTGTTCTTTTGGTTTTTTTCGGAGTTATTTTTTTCTTTGCAATTTTGTCAAAATATTTTTCATTGTCTAAGATTTTGTTTTTGAAAATAATTTTGTCGGTTTGTAAAGTTTTGTTTGGAGACCTCACTATTCAATTTTCAAAATTTATAAGCCAAAATAATGGTTGAAAATGCGAATTTCTTGAAAAATTGTCCTAATGAAATACTGGGCAAGCTCGACAAAAATAACATGGCGGGTTCAAAAGTTATGCTCATTAAAATGCTGATATTTTTGAACGACCCAAAAAAACCAAGATAAAAGGCTGCACTGACTTTTTGGATCCTGAGCAAAACACATACCAGTTTTTCTGCTGAGATTTATTCCGAATAAAAGTTCTATCAGTTATTTTTTGTGACTTATCAATCAAAACTCAAATTTTTTTCCTGTGTATTATTACTCGGGAATCAAACTCATATTTGTTCTTCTAAAGCCAACCGATCAGAACTTTAAAGTTTTTCTCGTCAAAGCTATTTGAATCAGTTGATTCACTTCAAAGTTGACAACCGACTTCGGAAGTCGGAAAAATAAAAGAAACCCCGCATGAAACTTTCTCCCCACTAAAACGTCTTTCAAACCGTTTCAAACAAGACAAAAAACTTGTGAGGATTGTTGGAAAGATCTGTTTGGACGAGCCCTTCGGAAGATTGTTCAAACAGCTCTCTTGGCCCTGGTGCTCCAACAACTCAAGTCATCTCTCTTTTTTTGTTTTCTCGCAAGTGCCGAGATTTCGCGAACAACGTGCCGCCGTTCAAACCACCGCCATCCGCTTCCAATTAGCCTTCATCCCCACGTTTTCATCTCTGAAATGATCCTTCTGCGAGGAAACTGAAGACAGCTGTGTTGCCCCTCCGGCTCATGTTATGAATTTTCGGCGTCATGAGTCTTGTATCTTGAGATTTTTGCTGTTTTCGAGGAGATTAAATTGTTGGGAAGACTTGTTGAAGTTTACTTTCAGGTTTTTCAATTTATGCCAAAAAAGAGGAAAGGTTCAGCTTGAAAATCGTTGCCTATCGAAGCAAGCAAGGGAAGAAAAAAGAATCAGTTGAATATTTTTAAATTTTTTTTTGGTCTCAGTCGGCGAAAATTCCGAAAGAGCCCATATCTTATCAGACTAGAAACAAAACAAAACAAAACAGGGGATCTCTCCGTGTTGTGAGCCTCTTGCTCTTCATTGCGTTGCGCTGTTCTTTTTTTACATTTTGATTTTTCACAGAAACAGTAACTATAACCAACACGATTTCCACAAATATCAGTTATAATCCCTGAATTTTTTTCAAGTTTCATGGAGTTTCTCTTTCCCTTATTTTTATTTTTTTGAAACAAAAGAGAAGTCTTTTTAAAAAGTTTTTGGGTTTCAAAAAGGTCCAAATCACAAAACTGAATGCACAAAAAAATTTAGAAACCTACGGCTCCAAACTAAACTTTAAATAAGTATATATATGAAAAAAAGTTTTTCTGAGTCTGCCCTGATCAGATTTATGTTCTTTCCAGGGAGCTGGTGGCATTCATCCTTAGCTTCCATTTTTATTGCGGTTTATTGCTTTCCCCCCTCTTCCTCTTCATCTATCCGCCGGCATCGTGTTGTTTCAAGATCAGATTGTTTTCCAAGATAAAAAGTGCTCCGTCTTGTCTGCAAGCAGAGGGGTAACAAGGTTATTCCTAAATGTTCTTCTGGGAAACTTGACGCAGCTTTTTTCCTTGCAGATTCAACCCTTTTCGTTGTGATGTTTTTTGAATTTGAAGGAGAGGTTCCTTGATTCCTATAGTCTTCTTCTTTCATAATTGTCGATTTCAATGGAAACCTTGCGGTGACTTTTTAAGTAGGCAAAAATTGAGCTGAAAATTTTCCATCAAAACTAGCAGAAAAGTTAAAAAACTTTTTTTTTTTCAAAATTGAGGGCTCTTTGGGGCCAAACTACATGATTTTGCACCTCAGAAGCTCAAATTTTGACCCTCTTTGCCTTGATCAGGATCTCTAGTAAAACATTTTCTCCATCCAAAAAATTTCCTGCAAAATATTCCTGCTGATCTTTCCTACACTCCTCTCCACACAGCCTCAAGCATTTTCGTCTATTCTAATCGCGTTTCTGCTTCCGTCTTCAGCTCAAAAGTCGAACAAAGCTTAAAGTTTCAGGACGAGGGCAAAAAGATGAACGCGACGGTGGATGCGGCGTGGGAAAACGCTACGGCGGCGCCTCAACCTTTTATTGAGGAATTCACGGTCGGAGAAACCATTTTCTACTTGAGTTGTGGCATCATCGGAACAATATTCAACTCCTTGGTTTTGTACATCGCGCTGAGGTACATCAACACGGAGGACAAGCCACGGCAGGTAAAAAGTATAGTCCTTGATGGGATAAAATAGTTTTTTTTTTTCCGAAAACATAATATATGTTGATCTGTAAGCTTGGAGACTTCAATACTCTGTTTATTGCTCATTTAAAAATGAATGTCACAAAGATCTCTTTCATCGACTTTTTCGAGATTTTTGTGAGGAAACAGGAAAAATTGCTAGCGATCAAAGAATCGAAGGTCCCAGCTAAATGTTCAAATCACTCAGACAATCTTTGCTCAAAACCACTTTCTCATAGACGATTTATTTCTGGAAACGATAAAAGGGTCTGATGAGCTTTCAAAGAGATTTGATGGTCTTGCCTGAATCTCAAAAATATTGGAAATGGAAGCCTCAAAGTTTTTTTTGACAAGTCACGAGAAGTGAATTGGGAAAAGTAACAGCCTTTTATCACAGTATCGGAAAGTAAAACTTCGTTTTCAAGGAGTTCAGACGCTTTTTCATTCTCTTTTCTTTTGAATGTGAGTTTCGAAAATAAAGTTTAAAATGAATTAACAACTTGAAAAGCCATGATCACAACGACGTTGAATTTCATTTTTTAAAACAATTTGTCAAGGAAAAAATTGTTTAAAATGTCATGACATCTGTGAAATGGTGAAAAATGATTTTATGATTTTTTTTTCGAAGAGAGAAATTGTGAATTTCCAAGTTTAACACCTAATTTTTGAAGATAATCGTCATCAACATGACGACGGCGGACCTTCTCATGTGCGTGGTCTACATGATTTCCCGTCCTTGGTTTTCTCTTCTGCCCAACTACGTCTGCCATCCTTACTATCTGACCATTTGGACCTGTCAGCTGTGCAGTTGTTTGAACCTCGTGTGGTGAGCTTTTCCATCGGTCAGGTGTGAAAATGATAATGAGTGGCAATTAATCATTGGGCTTTCAGCCCATTAACCTCTCAATGTGAGGCAGAAGCTCCCGGAGACACGTGTGGGAAAAATCTAAAATAAACTTTTGAACATTGGACTTCACATTGGACTCCGGTGTTTGTGGGAATGAGTTCGAGAAGCCTGCAGAATTATAAAGAGATCTTTGAAAACGGGTAAAAAATCAACTGTTCATTTAGCTTCAAAAAAGTGTTCCGACAAAACTATCTTACAGCAAATCGCACATGGAGCGTTTAAAAAAATGTTTTTCCAACTTTTTCAAAAAGTTTATATTTTTCTATCTTCATTTCGCAGCTGATTTCCTTTTTTTGAGAAAAAAATACTTTCTTAATTCCCAATAACTTGAAGTTAGAGAACTCAGAGAAGCAGTTTTACTTTATGATAGTCAAAAACTAGAATGGATCAGCTTTTTGCACAAATGATTTTTCAGTCGATAACGAAAGCCTCTTTTTTCGACTATCATTGAACTTCCGGCCGCAACATTGGAGAGCATTTTTTCATAATTTTTGGTTTCTAAATCTATAAAATGGTCGGAAACCAGACGGCTTTGAGTCTGAAATAAACTTTTTTAGTCATAAATCCATGAAATAAACGCTTTTGTCAAATTGAATCTATTCAAAACGAGAGTATCTCTTTTTGCATTATGTGGAAAGCTATACATATTCATGATCATCGAACATCATCCTGCAAAAAATCTCCTCTTTTTCTTCCCCATTGAGCCTTCAGTCTCAGTGCGTTCGGGCTGATTTCAGCAGAGCACAGCACAAGAGCCAAAAAAAAGTCGTATTTTTTCATCTATTTTCAAGAGTCATGAGACGAAACCATTGAAATAGCTTTTCAGAGATGACGCAAACACAAGAAATTGCTCGCTGTTCAAAAGAGGATATGTATGCCCACACGTTTCTGATCCACAAAAACACCGAAAATGCCTGTTTTTGGCTTGGGGAGAAAATTTTCAGGGTGTCAAATAGCAAGGGATCACGTGAGGTGGAATTAAATTTGGAACTTTAAGTTGAAAAGTTCACGCGTGTGTCGTCAGAAGCTTCAAAGTAAAGCTGGGGATAGAGTTAAGAAAGAAAAATCTTTCTTTGATGTAGTCCTCAATCTAAAAATTGGTCGAGAAGAAAAAAATACTTTCAAAACTTGGAAGTCCCAAAAAAAAATGTTGTGAATTTTCTCAAAACGATTGAAAAGAAACATTACAGTTTAGTTTACTGTTTCAAGTGAAAATTCAAAAGCTAATGATATTTCGATCTCATCTTCCTTTTTCCAACCTTTGGATTGGGAAAAATGGAAGAAACTTTTTATTCGGTCCTTCTGCTAGAGTGTCTCCTTTTTTCCGCAACTGTCAAGCTTAAATGGATTTTTCCCAACTACAATAAAGCCTTTTATTGAATCTTGAAAAGAATCTTCTCTACACTAATCTCCAAATTGTTTCTTTCCGAGTCCAAGAATTAATCTCATCCTAACGAAATTCCTCAAAGGACTCGAGTCCAAATATAACAAACAGGAAATATCAAAGAAAATGACAAAAAGATGTCAAGGAAGCTCAAAAGTAATCCCGGAGCATTGGTTTTGTGAAGGGTGTAGGCGTCCGATTCCTTCTCGCAAAGTCCAAAAACGTCTTCTGACAGGGCTTCACTGACATTATTGCAGGCTCAACGTTGACAAGCTCATCTACATCCAGTTCCCGCTTCACTACTACTCGATAGTCAGCAGAAAGAGGCTTCTTCTCGTTTCTGTGGGGACCTGGGCCGGACTTTTGGTCATCACAACGGTTCTTGTCAGCTTTGTGACGGCCAATGTAAGTATCGAAAAACTAAATTTTGGCGGAAATGGGAAGAACATAATAAGAATTTGGTTACACAGGTAAAACAGTTCTCTTCATAATGCCACAGCGCAAATCGTATCTGGTCGGGGATCAAAAAACAAAGATGTTCTCGCAGTATTCAAACTCTATATCTCTTAATATATTTTACAAATCATGAGAAAATGTAGCAAATTACCATTTTTCTAGAGCTTCAAAAACCGAGAAAAATATAAGTTATTTAGTTGGCACAAAAAATGTCGAAAGCAAAAAGGAGAAAAATATTGAAACTTCTATAAAATTACCCACGTTTTCTGTTTTCAGCAAGGATGCATCCGAATCAGCTTGAACCCCTACATCTACACCATCATTCCGATTTTCTACGTTGTCATGATCGTCACATCATTCTCGCTGTCGGCTCTGATCTACTTCATCGCTCATAACTTGACCCATATGGAAGTTCGCCAGCGATCGGTAGAAAATCTTTTAGAGAATATAAGTCAGTTCTCTGTTTCAGAAACTCTTCCGACGACTTTTCTTCTTGTTCTCGAGCACTCTCTGGACGTTTTTCACCTGCCTACCGTATCGCGTTCTGTACCTATTCAGCATGTTTTGTAAGTTTTTATTCAATTGATGGTACCAAGAAAGCGATAAGAATCTTCTTAGAATGAAAAAAATGGTTGCAGGTGGTGCGATGTGCGCAACGAGTATGTACAGAGTATCAACGGACATGTTCTTCCGGATTTTGGTCGTCGGCATGGTTATTAATCCGCTCATAACCATCTGGACCCAGCGGGTAAGCTTTTCCCGGAGTATGATTGAAATTATTGGAAAGTTTGAGGGTGAAAAACAGCCTCTGGTAGAAAATGTCACTTAATTTCTCAACCTCTTCAGAAATGAATCTTTTTGAATCAAAATACCGCAAATTTTTATTCAAAGCTCTCTTCATTACTGTCAAATCTTCCCGGAAAATAGTTGAAAAATGGATGATTGGGATGTTTGAAGGAGAACAAAGCTTTTAATGAAGAATCTCGCATTACTGCTTAAAAAAAATTGGGTTTCTGAACTAGAAAACCGCAAATTTTTATTTTAAAATTCATTTGATCACTATCCAATCTTCCCGGATACTAATTAAAATAGTTTAAGAAATGCTTTCGAAAGAATTTTTTGAAGTTTTTGAGGTCGTTGAGAACGTGATTTACAGATTTTCTGAGTTAGGCCGAGTGGAAAACTTTTCCGTAAAAGCCCAGGGATGAAATAAGCTCGAAATCTTTACAGAACCAGTTTATGTACTGTAAAACCCAATATCAAGGAGTTTTTGACAAAAGACTACAGAAATAATTCTCATAATATCTCTATTCTTAACTATATATCGCTGAGAAGCCGCCGTCGAGGCATTGACTAAAATAAACTCTTATATCAAATGTTTCAGTTATTTTCGAGCCCACAGCCTGATATTTCGATTCAATTCTGAAAAAAAAACAGTTTTTCATTCTGAAACTGATTATAACGTGTCCAAAAACTTTCAGATCTATCGTCTTCGGCTGCTCCGAGCCTTCAACAGTTGGAAGGAAAACAGCAGCTCCGAAGTTCTGATGGTCAGCTCGAACCGCCGTCCTTCTGAAAGGCCCCCAGACAACCAACTTCTCCCTCCACAAGCCTAAGCTTTGTAGATATTTTGATTTATCAAAAAACTGTTGTTTCTTCCTGATTCTCCATTGAAAAAAAAACCAAAAATGTTTGCTTTCTGATCATATTCATTCCCATCTCTATTTTTTTTCCATAATCGCGATTTTTCCGACATAATCGACATAATGAGCTTATCCATCGTTTCTAATATTTTTGAAGCCATATCATTTTGATCTCTCCCAACATATAGCTAGTAGGAAACGGGTAACTTAGATATCATCAATAATTCTCCACATGTCAACTTTGCATTTTCTTCTCTTTTTTTTTGTTTTGGTGTAAAACATGGGACTCTCAACTGGTTACCGTTTCATGTTAACCACAAGAACACATTAACATTGCGTATTTATTGTTGTGAAAGATGAATAAATTTGAATATGATGGTATTCCACGGCAGAAATGAAAAAAATTATTGATTAAGTAATTTCTTCAGCATCTGGTGGATATTTTCGCTGAAACGCTTCTTTTTATCGAGACCCATTGATTGCAGTGCATCTGGAACTGATTATTTGAGCATTTTTAGTGGTTTCGGGAATTCAGTCACTAGGCTTTTCATGAAATGGGACCTTTGGCAAAATGATTAAGAAATGATTGGAAAACATAAGAAAAGAGACGGTACTTTCACTTCAGAGTTGGTTGAATACACCTGGTTTGACCACATGGATTTTTTAAAAACTGTTAAATCTTTGACTCTGAAAAAAGCTTTCTAAACTAAGTTTACTCAAAATTAAGGAGTTGACTAAAAATTTGAACTATGAAAAAAAAGAATTTGGCGAAATTGCAAATTTTTAAAACATGCATTTATAGTATTTCAAAAACATTGAAAAAAAACTCCGTGGCTGAAATTATTCAAGGTTCACAAAATTCAAAACTTTTTTTGAAAAAAACAAAAAAATATTATAGTAAAAAAATCATTCAACATGGATTTCAGTATCGAAAAAAATGAAAAAAAGTATAATTTATAAAACTATTTCCCTACTAAGTATAAAATTGTTTTTTTGAAATGATCATGTTTTTGAGATGATTTGGATCATTTTTGAAATGTCGAATCCCGAAAAACTTCGATTTTTTTATTTTTGAGAGTTTCTTACATGTTTTTCCAAAGACTTTCTGATTGTGGAAACTTGGAAGGAATGATCTGAATGATCATAAAGGCTTAGGAAAAAAATTACTCTGAAAAGAATGATTTCACTTTTCACTTCTCATGATTGTATGGAAAAAAGTCCTTAAGCATAAAAGTCGCCTGGAAAAAAGTTGAAACGGAAGTGAGACATGAATTTCTCAAAAATTTTCGGAGAAAACCATTTTGAGTGGAGTTAGAATCCTAATGAAAAAATATTTCCTTTCAGATGATTGAAAATGCCTTCTTCTTGCTTCAATTGAATAAAAATTTTCTCAGGATCTCATTAAGTTTCAATTTAAAGAAATCAGAAACCTCTTGCTAACCTTGTTTTCTGTAGACTTTTTTTAAGGTATCAATCGGACAAATAAACAACTAGCCTAGCCTAGTGATCATTTTTTACTCAAGTACAAAAAAACTCACTGAAGGTGCGGTATTTCTTGAATTTGTTTGGCTGAGCACGATTTACCCAGTACAAAGACGCGCTCCGTCGGGGTACCTGAATCGCAGGTTCGGCACCCGGAAAACTTGCACCTGAAATTATCAAGAATGTCATCACTGCCAGTGACGCCAAATGTCCGAAAAAGCAAGGTCTGCAGAGACATTAATTAGTGTTAAGTTTACTTCTCACTTTGACTCGTCTTCCTTTTTTAAAACAAAGTAATAAAATGTCAAACCTGTGAGTGATAGGAAGTAGAGGACGAAAATTGCCGTGAAAATCACTTGAGACATCACTGAAACAGGTTAAATTTTTATGGAAAAGTATCAGGCTTTCGGAAAACGGAGAAAAAATCGGATCGGGAGAGTTTTGGTTCAGTTTACGAAATTGTAACCTCATGTCAGACTGTCTTTGATTAAACATTAAAAGAGCTCCAATAATAGCGAAAAGTTTTGTCAGAAAGCAGTTTTTGATGAAAGTTAACGATTTTTAGATCAGTACTTGAAAAAATTGCGCATGCGACACTGTTGATAGAGTTTGTACATACCGCACCGTTTATAAATTCATCTACCTTTTTATTTTGAAACTTTCACTCAACATCATCAGGATACATTTCTCTCTAAGAATGATCCAATAACAGGCCATTTATGGAACTTTAAAAGAAAATCTGAGCACTTTCAAAAAAACGTTTTCTTCACTGCAAAAATATTTTTGCGATTGGGAATCTGGGTTTCTGAAATAAAAAAAAGTTCTACCGTATTCATTGATTTTTAAGTACACCGGTAACCAAGAAACTCTTTGAAGGGTCTAGTCCAAAAAAATTGAATGAATAAAAAGCGATACTGGTGAAAATTTCTATAGTTTGAAACGTCAAGGTACGGCTCAAAATCGCGATTGAAACGCGTTTAGAAATTTGAGAAAATTATTCGCTTTAGTTATATGAAGATTATATGGAAAACTGTGTCCAAATGGCCTTTATCAGGTCGGACAGGATATCATCGTGCGGAAGTAGATTTTTGTCAGACGCAATGTTTTTGAAAATATGGTAAGTGACCGCCGCGGACACTAACGCGTTTTTTTTTCAACCAAACCTTTCAAGAAAAAATAAAGATTGAGTAGATCTTTAGTTATAAAAAAAATGAAGGTTCCCAATTTTTTTTTTCGTTCGATTTCAGCCTACTTGATTCGATATGACTAAAAAACCGATAAATACTGATGATAAAAAATATTGATGATCCCTGTGAACCTTGGAAACATATCAAGACTAGGAAGGAGGACCCAAAACTGACTAGAAAATCGGATAATAAAAAGCTTCCCGATAATGGTTTTTATCAGGACATCATCATTTAAATCAAAGAAAAATGGGAGGAGCCCCGACACCAGCGGAATTAGAGGATAATAGAAAACGTGGAATGCACCGAACGTCTTTTTTTCCACCGTCTGGCGGATATTCAGACTGCCATTCGTCCGCTTTTTGATTTTTTGAGACTCGACAGAAGGGAATAGGGGCTATTGTGAAACAGGAAAAGATGATAAACGGATGGATTTGGCTTTATCAAAAGTTCGAAGCAATCTGGGAAAACGAAAACAAAAAGTACGGTAGCAGGAAAAGCTCATCGGGATAAGCTTAGAGCCGGACCTAGCGTGCAAGAACTAAGAAAAAGCTTTAAAGCTGAAAAAGGAGGTCATTCATTTTGACACTCAAGGATTTTCTGAAACTTGACCAAAAAACTTCATAACCCTGAGATGAGATCGAGAAAGTTCTTAATCATAATTTTTTATTTAAGTTAAGATTCTTCGAAGTATATTTTCTGTTATCTTCGAAGTGTTTACAAAATTGAAAAAAATAATGCAAACCGACTAGTTACGATTTTCAGACTTTTTGTAAAGGACTATTGAAAAAAATTCGACCGACTCTTTAAATCACTAATCGTAACTTCTTTGAAGAATGATCTTTTTTTTTCTCAAAAAACAAGTTTTATCAAATTTTCACGAAAACCTTTAACCGTTTTTCTTTTTCAATAACGAAAGCCAAAAACATCAGCCAAGCCACAGTATCAAGGAAAACGACCTCTGGGTGGTCTTTTTTTTTTGGAAAACTAAGAAGTTGTGCAAATTGAGACGTTCAGGACTCATAGTGCATCAGAAAGTGTTCTGGTCACATTCCAAAAAACGCTTATTTTTTGAGAAAAAGAGTGTTTTCTTTGAATGAGAAAAATGGAAAATTAGAAATCACGCTTAAAAAAAGAATTAATGATTTTGATAATTTTGAACTATGCGATTAAAAATTATCGAGTATAACTGTAAACTTCCTTTGAGCTGAAAGGACCAATTCTGCTGAAAAGAGAAGTTGAAAAAATCCAAAAAAAAATAGGAACTTTGATAGCTCTCAAAAATTTGAATAACGTTTTGATTTTGATTTGCAAGGAGAAAATCGTGCAAACATACAGAAAAAAAAGACAAAAAGATAAACGGATAGATTTGGCTCATCGAAAGTTCGCTACAATCTAGAAAATTGGAAAATTACGGTGGCAGAGAGAAGCTCAACAGGATAAGCTTCAAGATGGATCAGAAGAAAAAAATGGAGAAAAAAACGTGTTTCCTCTCAAACAAGACCTGTTGAAAAAAATTGTAATTGTGAATTATAAGATAAGCCGAGATCTTTATAATATTTCGAAATTGAATGATAAAACAGATAAATTTCCGTTGACCTTGCAATACTTTGCAAAATGACCAGAAAGCCTCATGGGAGCCAAATCTTAGGAAAACAACAGAATAAAGCCCATCTGTAATTAAATCCGAAATGTAGAATATTTTGTCTTACAATCCTCATCCAGTCTATTTCCGTTCCAGTCGTGTAAATTATGCAGAAAAAGTCAGAAAGTAGACGCTAGACGGCCGTTCACGTTGCGCAAATTTTCAATTGACGCAATCTAATTAAGGATTTATGATGAGGACGTTTATTGAGCGTAATATTTGACCTTAACTCTGGAAAAATGTCGGAGCGTGTCATAAGGAAGTGACGATGAATTAAGAAGAAGGTTAAAAGTAGGTATTTTTTTTCTTTTTCTTCGAATAGTTCTTGAAAAAAGCTTGCAAATTTTTGGGGGTTCATGGGGGTGTCTGAACTTTTCACATTACTTCAGAAGTATAAATTTTCTTCCATTTCCAAACAGCTTACGCTATATTGGCTCAAAAAAACCTATAGATAAAAAGCTTTTTGCCATTTCGAAAAGCATGGTTCTCTGAAAGAGTGGTCATCCTTCTTAAAAAAATTGCTGAGTAAAGTTTCTTTTTTTAATTTTTAGAGTGAGAAGAACGGAAAAACTGAGCTCAGATTTTTTTCATGTATTGGATTGGGAATCTGAAAATTTCAATCTACAAGGTTTGACAGAAATAAAACTCCTGAAAGCTCAATTTTCCTGACCTTTTCCAGTCAGCTGATATTTTGAGATGTTCTTTTTCTCAGAAGTTTTGCAAGCGGAGATTTTTGGGACACTCATTCAACTCATCGGAAAATGATTCATAGAAGTTCCTGCGACTCTCAATCTCAAAATCAAATTACGTTCCTCGTAAAGTTTGATGATTTATTTTTTTCTTGTTTTTTTAATAGTCAAAAGAACTGTCTCAAAACCTGATCAACCAATAAAAAGTGAACCTTGGGAAGTTTTGCAGTACTATTTTTAGATTTGAGATTGCAAGGGATCTAAAAATAATATCCGAAGAGGAACTGGCTCCAAAATTTAAGAATTTTCTTCTCAAGACGTTGCTTGCGTGCCTGGGTGGCAGAAGTTTTTTTCAAACTTGGCTTTTTGAGCTCTCACTGATATTCTGATGCAAACAAATATGGAAAACTGTGAATATTTTTTTATATTTAAATATCAAACAACAAGCAACTTATTTTTGGGACAAGGAACAATTATACTCCTGATACGGAATCTGGAAATGATGTATTGTGATAATTGACATGAGTTGAATTAATTAAACACTAATAATCTGGGAAATCAAATCTTGAAAGTTTTTTGAGAGCAATTAGCCAAAATGCGAAACAGGACAAGAAACTAGAAGACTTCTCTGCGAACTCCTCAGAAGAAATTATGCGTTGAATATGACTAGTTATGAGTGTTCCATACTCCTTTTTGTGTTCTTTTTGCTCCCCTTCAAGTGAGAAAACAAAAACCTCACAATTGGACAAAATAACTCAAAAAAAGCTTGACCCAAACTGGATCCTTTTGTTATTTTCACGAGCTATTGGAAAGTAAAATCCGAAAAGTCTCAATTTCGTCTCTGAGAGTCTCTTGTAAATCAACTGTAAATTTAGTCTATTGGTATGAACCGTTCAAAAAGTTTTCATGAAGCTTTTGAAGACTGAGAATTCTCGAATGAAAATGAAAAAAAAACTTGAAAAGAAATTTCGCATAGATCCTGGAAGGCCTTCATGAAAAGTTTTTTGAAAAAAAAAAATCAAATTTGAAAAAAGTTCCACAAAGCCAATGATTTTCAGTGAAGAATAGCTCAATTATGGATACCGAAGAAAAGCAAAAAATGGTACATAAGATCTAGCTGCGCGCAAGCAGTTTCTAGTCGGACGCACTCTAGTTCAGTGCAATTCAACCACGAAACTTCGAGTAATTTATTCACATTTCAGAGCCTTTTAAATTTTTCATTGTCAGAATAATATGAAGAGATCAAAACTGAGTCCACAGTTTTCAAAATTGTGAAAAAAATTCATTTTTTCAATAAGGCCAAAATTGACTCACCATTTTGAAGGTGAAGTCTGTACTACAGAAGGAGTCGAAAGAACTCGACGAGTTCTCGAAATGTAGGAGTAGCATTTGTGAGCCACGTGTAAGGCGTAGACCTTTAGAAGTGTGTAGATTATCAAGAAACTCAGCTTGATTTCTACGAAACGGCGGAAAAATGTGGTGTCTTGAAGGAAATCTGGAAAAAGGGTCATTGTGATTAATTTTCTCAAAAAATTTCTAAATTTTTTGAAAGTTCATTTTTTTTTTGAGAAGTAGGGTAAGCCTAGCTAAAATGATTCTAGCCCTTATGAATCTCTCTTGTCATTTCCATTTTTTATTTTCACAGTCTTTCCGTTTTATCAAGTCCTTCTGAACTTTTTTCCGACTTCTTGTAATTCACGACTTCCTATTGCCCATTCCGTTTCTAGGAATTTTTTCCACATATTCATTAATCACCGTAATCTGAAGCTCAAGTCACCATGTTTCACCTGATTCTCTTTTTTTCTTGACCTTCTCAATTTCAGTTTTTCTCTGCCAAATCATCTCATTTTGCATTATTATACGGAAGTTAAATCCACAAAGATTTTCTGCAGATAGTCATCCGACATGTAACTTGGTGAAAAAAATTATGACTAACCTGGATAAAAATGACAAAGGACGAATATAGTGAGAAAAATGAGATAAAGAAGGATTCTCGCTATCACAGCGAGCATGTAAGCTTGGATGAGGGAGATGCGGAATTTCCGAACTCCTTGAATCAAGGCGCCCACGAACACTGAAAACACTCAGGATAGCTTGAAAAACAACGAAAGTTACTAAAAGGTTGCTAAGAGAGAGTTTTAGGGTTTTTTGTCCAATATTTTTTCAAAACCTAGCCGGTGAATGTAATAGGAAAATTTTTAGTGGCCACTACATGGAATTGACGATTCAGTGGCCACTATAATAGTCAAATTAGTGGGCACTTAAGGGGTTGAATATTAGTGCCCACTGTAGAGGTCTAAAAGGCTACTACTAAACCACTAAGAATTTTAGTGGCCACTTTAGGGGTCATAGATCAATATAACTGGTCCAATCTGTTTTTTTAATTATCAGAGTTACTGGAAGAAATACTGGATGAAAAACTACTGAAGTGGCCACTAAATAGAGAATCTTTATAGTGGCCACTAAAACGGAAAATAATGGCCACTATAAGGTGGGTTTAGTGGCCACTTTAGTGTCCTCTCCAATTAGTCCTTGGCGAGCCTCTACAGTGACCACTAAAAATTTTTCCAGTAAAAAAAAGTTTTTCGCCTCGATTCACCAACGGAGTTATTTTTAACTCCCTTAGAAACTGACCTCCTTGTAAAATAGTGAAAGTGAAGCCAATGATAATTACGGGTGGAGGGAAAGCTTCTCTGACGATGGATTCGGCTGTCCAAAATGATAATTGTGAAACGATCCACATGATTTCGCAGTACGCGATCCATATTGTGCCGGTCTGAGAATCAAAATTTATAATTAACAACAAAGAAATGGATTTACTCTAATGTGCATTATCCGAAAACAGCACAAAGGAGAGGGAACACGTCGGACGTGAGGATAGACACCGGCCGGATGGAGATGTAGCTCTTTCTCGTGCATCATGTTCATCTGGAAGATTATTAGGAATTCTAGTAGAATGTAGAATGAAATTTATTATTTAATAAACAAGCGGGAAAACCATAGCGCAGCCTTTTTTTTGAGTAAAATCTTCATAAAAACTTTTGGAATATGATTCCGAGTAGTTCTATCATAAAAGGTTCTTTAACGATGGCGATCTCGAGCTTTTTGATCCTATGAACTTTTACAATATTAAAAAAACTGGAAATTTCCTGAGAATTGAGGGATAAATGAAGAACTTTAAACTTTACCTGCCAACACAAAAATCGAGGAAAAGAGAACGGAAAAAATATTACTTTTCCATTGAAAAAAATCGTAAACAACAAGTTTTAAAGTTTTCTAGTGCGATCCTCAATTGCAAAAATTAACACTCAGAATAGAGCCAAGAAGCGTGAGACGCAAAAAAAGATTCCTAATGCACTGAAACCAATTGTGAAACTGCTGCACGATTTCTAAGCTTGCAATTTCGAACAAAGATGAATGCAACATAGGAAGTGTTTGACAAGCCTTTCTGAGTAGAATCGCCTTGAAATCAGGAAAAAATTAACGAGATGCTGCTTCTGACAACTATTGTGAGTCCAAGAAGCGAAAGAACGTTAACGAAATATGTCGGAGTGATCAAAATTGTGCAACAAGAAGAATGGCAAAGAATGGCCATTGTCAGTCAAGTCATCATGGCTCGTTGTCACTTCTTCGTGGACTTTAATGTTTCAAAACGGCTTGTATCTGGATGTCCCGTCAAGACCAGGTTTCAATTGGATGCAAAAAAAGGAAGAAAAAAGTGGATGAAAGCTTCCTGCAAAAGATATTTCTGGTGCGAATGGATGAGACAACTATTTGGCAAGTTAGGGCTCAGCTGCGTTCATTTATTGTCGCCCATTTAACGACGTTCGGCTGAATTGATTTGTACAAAGCATTAGAGTTCAGCTAAAAAGATTTGAGTGGATTCTGATGAAAATCATCTGAACCTTTCGTTAAACTATTCCATGTTCGAGGAAAACTGGTTTTTCATTTGAGCAAATTCTATTCAAAAAAAGTTTTTTTATGAAGTACTTCTTTCGAAAAAATTTTCGAATTCTGGATTTTTGAAAATTTTTGAGTAGAATCACCTCGTTCAGCACCCCAGATCAAAAACTTTTCCAACAAACCACGTTCCCCAAAAAAATTGAAGAAAAACCGACCTTCGACCTCAGGACAGCAAAAAATTGCAGAATGTTCATGGTGAAGTACGCTCCAAGGCGAATTAAGGAATCTAGCCAGAGGAAAAGGTGCGTGAGAATCATCGATGGCTTAATTTTGCTGCAAACCGCGGGTCCACGGATGGCGGCCATGTCACTCAAATTGCGGCCTTCTTTCCGAGTCATTCGCTGCCCAAAATTCAAAACAACACGTTTTTCGAGTTAATATTTAATAACAGAGTCATAACAGGACGAAAAGTTGCAAAAGTCGAAAATATAATGAGATGCGGGTTAACAGGAGTATCATGAATGGCGGCCAGAATTTGCAGCGGTGAGCATTAAGTTTGGTTTTGAAATTTGGATTGAGACATTTTTTTTGGCAGTTGGTTTATTTTTTTTCTCAATTGAAAATGATTTACGGCAGTTATTTGCTGATTTTTTCATGGATATTTGAAAAAAAGGCAGCAATCTTAACGAATACCTCTTCTTATGATTAGAAGATAGTTCAAGGTATTCGACAGCATGATAAATTTCAAAGACAAAAAAAAATGGAAAAGTCGGTTTAAAGTTCGTTTTTATAGTCTTTCGATTTTAGGTTTCCATGCGCTGTTCAAAGCTTATTTTTGGACTGCTATTTCTAAAAGGCTTTGATATTTTTGAATTCGACGCGAAATTAAATTCAACAAATTTCCAGCTGAAAAAATCCTTGGTTTCGTTTTGAGCTAGTTCAAAAATGAGGAAAACCTACTTAATACTCGCCACTGTAAATTGATCAAGATCATTCTGAGAAAAAAAAACCGGTTGGTACAAAAACCGTAAAAAATCGGGCCAATCAAGTTGATTATTTTTTTTTGTCATTGAGGAGATGGCTCTCGCGTTCCTTCCGAGCCATGTACGCCTCGTAGGCCAGCGACAAGGCCACGAACAGATCCACCGCCAGACCCTGTAAATTGGATTCCTTACAAACTTTTGTTGACATCGTGTTATTCATTAGAGAGAGAGAGAGAGAGAGAGAGAGAGAGAGAGAGAGGATTAAAATTGACCAATTTAAAGTTGTCATTTGGAGAAAAAGAGACTAACCGCAGTCACAGTAGAGAAGGCGTAAACTGCCGGAGATGTCTTGTGGGTGTAGACGATGGCGAAGCAATTCTTATCATTCTTATCCTGATAAGCATGGACGAGACTTCCATAGTTGAACGATTCGAGGACACGCTGCAAGTTTTCATTTCTCCATTTTTTGAAATTATGGAAGCTATATCCTCCCTCCTTGGGTGTGTTTCTTTATTGGACAATATGGAACTTCGTAGAAAACTCTTTTAATGCTTTTCAGACCCTATATATGAATCATCAGCCGGAGCCAGAGCCCAGCTCATGAAGCAATTTTTTTTTCTTCCACTAATAGTCACTTTCTCGCCGTAGTTTTGCCTTACTCTTCATTTTTTCAGCTTTTTTACTCGAAGGGGCGGGCCGTTTGTACAAACGAGGTTCCCCGAAACGCCCCGTCAACAGCTCTGCTCAAAGCGTCCAGATATGATTTTTCTAATAATGCGAGCGATAAAAAGTTATTTCCGGGAACAGGACTAAAAATTAGCGGCTATAAGGATATCAAAAGGAAAATTGAAGTCGAAAATTTGGTCAAACTTATATCATTATTAAAACTTTTAAGTTCACCTCGTTCTGATTGACCAGTTGAACGCCGTCACGCAGGAGCCGCAGCTCAGAAATCCCGTGGTTCGAGTAGGCGTAACAGTTTTCCTTTTCCTGCAGCTGAATAGGAGTGTTTTTAATATGAAATTACAATAGTCGAAGTCTGATGACTTTTTACAGTTTTAAGAAGACTCTTCCAAAATTGGAAGTCATGCAGGCTGCAATGCAAAAGATCAGAATTCCTAAATGGCTACTTCTTGTCAAATTCCAAAAAAATCTAACCCGCTGTAAATATATATTTTTTGTCAGTTTAATCTCATAATTCAGATGTTTTTCAACCGCAGTTTAAAAAAAGTATAAAATTTTGAAAACTCACTCGATCCAGCATATTCTGCACGGTTTGCTGCTCTTCATAGAGGGTCTTTTCGAAGAGGAATCTATTGGAGAGATAGATTACCGGAAAACGAGGAACGCTGGTGTTGCGATCCGGCTTTCGTTTGTAATAAGCACGGCGGAAAGTGTCCTGAATTTTTCATTGCTTTAGAAAAGTTCGTTGAGTTTGGAAATCATTTTTTCATTTTTCTCAAATTGCCAAACATCACATTTGCGGAAAGCTTGCTGAACATTTAAATAAGACAATTATCACGAAAAAGTTTCATTTTTTTCTGCAGACTCGATATAGTTTTTTTTTACTCTCTACCTGTAACAAGAATGTTTCGAAGCAACGGCAAAGCGTACGGAAAAAATGACTTTCATGTATTTTTATACTATTTTTGTGCAAAGCAAGATATAAAAATATATAGCTCTTTTGAACAGCCTCAAACTTCTTCTGATTAGAATATCCTTTGCGAAATTTTCTATTCTAAAAAAAGGTTGTTATAACTGCAAAATCCCTCATGGAAATCTCAGATTAATAAACTTCCTATTCTTGCATAATATTTTTTGTTAATCTGAAAGTTTTTGAAGTGTGCCCAATGCAGCGGAAGAATGGTGAATCATTAGCATTCTAGAAAATCATGAGGGCACCTACTTTTCTGCTTGGCTGGTTCTGATCAGCAGTAATTAGTTCCTACTACTACTATGACTGTTTTTTATCATCGAGATGAGTTCCCGGTAATGAGCTCTAGACTTTGAAAAAATATTGATGAGGCCTTTTTGCGGGAAATTGTATGACGCATTGGCGTTTCTCGAAATAACAAATCTACCGTTTCTTTCAGCTTCAGTGCTTCTGGCTTATATTTATCTACTTTAACGGGTATCTGAAATAGGATCACAATACTAGTCCTGTTTGCTGTGAGGAAAAGACGTTTCTTCTAGAGCTTCAGACAGTTTCCTACTAGAATTACTTACATAGGCCCGGAGGTTTTTCTGCTCCTCGGCGACATTGCACTCCGGGAGGTGCCATCCGTTCAGTGTCGGGATTTTTTCACGCAAAAAGCAACACATCAGAGAGTCCGATCGCGGGTTCGGAAGAAACGGCGTCAGTACGTAAAGGAATGGACTTGTCTTGAGGATATTCAGGAGATTGAGCGTCTTGTCCACCGAAGCCATGGCCTGTAATTGGTTCTTACGACCTTTTGCGAATATTTTGGATGTATGAGGAATTGAAAAAGTTGAAAGGAAATCACGATAACCTGGATGAAATGTCTTCCTAATAACTGTCTTTCTGAATTTTTCACGCCTTCTGCAGGTTGATTTGAGGCCATTTTTAGGCTCATACAGATAGTTATGCTTCAAATGAATCTAACCTTTTTGGAGCCTTTTTTTAAAATTTTTAACGAGAATCTTGAACTTTTAATCTGACCTATACTCCTGATGACAAAGGGCCTTACTTCATAAAATTGAACCAGTGGACCAAGGAAAACTGTAGTGTAGTGTTGGGAGCAATATGGATAAGTAAGGCTTTCAAATTGTTGATTTGAAGGTCAGGAAAAGATTCAAAACTTAACTACCTGTTCCAAGATATCAGGCGAGAGTGGTAACGGAACGTTTGGAGCGGCTTCCTCGGATTCAGCTTCTTCATCCTTTTTCCCGGCCTGGACTTCTCCTTCCACATTCTGATTCTTCTGCCCGTCGTTGACCTTCACCGATTTTTTTTCCCCGTTTTGTTTTCCCTCCACTTCCGCTTCTTCTTTTTTCTTCTCTTCATTTCTCGCTCCTTCTTCCACGGCGTCTTCGTATTCAGAAATCTTGTCAGCGTCCTCATCAACGTTCTCCTCCTTGGTGAGGTGGTTTATTTCCGCAACAGTTTCCATTTGATTTTTTGGCGAAACTTTCACGGCTTCTTTTTTCAAGTTGGCAGGTTCCTCAATTTTGAGGTTTCCATTCAAAAGTCGCTCTCGTGCCGATCGCCCTGGATAAAATTTATTATCTCTATTTTTATAATTTTTTGTTACTTCTTCCGATGCAAAGATGAATCCAACTTCTTAAATAGCCCGGAGGCTGTCTGAAGTAGAACTGAAACTTCTGGAAAATTAATGAATTGTGCGCTGGGTTCGGTACCGTCTCCACTTTGTTATTGAAGATCACCCTCTTATCATTTCTTTCGTTCTTTTCTTCATCCTCTTTCACGATGAGAACGGTTTCTTCATTTTGGCAGAGTTCGGGTGAACGCGCACGAGCTGAAATTGATCGGATCATGGATTTTTAAAAACTTTATCTATCTATTAACCTCTCGGTATAACTATACTTATTTCAATTATTTTTAATATTTTTAATAATTATGTTCCTTGTCCTTTCCTCTCTTTTTTTAATTAACTTTCCGAAATTAATTCCTGCAAAATAGGAAATATGAATTTCTCACGGTGTACTAAACTTTGCGCAAGAACTATTTTTGTTTTGGGAGCTGACCATAACATCCTCCGACAAGCGCGGCCCGGCAAGATGTTTATTGGAATAATTGATTTTTGATTGTCGCATATGATAAGATATTCGCATCGTTTTTTTTTTCTGATTCAGCGGGAAAGTGTTCGCACCTGTACGAAATTCTCATCCCGTGGGCGCCACACAAAAATCGGAAATTTTGCGTATCTCGATTCTCGCAGTAATTCAAAATATGTATATTTTTACGACTAGTCCACTACTTTGAGTTATCCGATTTTGGAATAATAATCGAATAAATTATGAAAACTCTACTGAAATTTGAAATATTTGAAAGTTTCTAATCGTTTACTTTTTGGCTATTCTAACCTTTTTCTTACTGAAATAATTTTCGCAGCTGTGCGTTTGATGATTTTGAAAGAAAATCCATAATAACAACGCACGTGGCCGAAAAGAAACCGAGGCTCCTAAGATACGCGAATTGATGGCGCATAAAGGTTTCCGTGGGATTACCCCTTTGAAGATCATAAACACATTCGTTTCTGTAAAATTGAAAGGGAGATTTTTCGGAGGATCCTAAATCCAGGATAAAAAGAGAAATTACAGCTTTTCAGAAAAAAACTGTGTTTTTATTACAGTCAGGGTTATTTGAGATGCTTTTTCTTGAAGTTTACTTCAATGAGAATTGCTCTTTTTTTTCGAAAAAAGTTAATTTCGTGCATTGTGCTGAACTTTTTTATTCTTAAGAGGGCCTAACGGCTATTCTTTTTCGAGAAAAGTCCAGCCTGCACTGTTTTGAATCCAAAATAGGTTTTCAGCTTGTTGTTTCACTCTAGCTGCACACTTTTTGCGAAATCCGAGAATTGATAGTTTTCATGCTTTTCAAAACCCGTACAGATCCCTTAGCTAGGTAATTCAAAAATTATGATACTTCAAAAAAAATTTTGAGGCGAAACGCCGAAGTTAGTGTTACTTCAGGGCGTGAAAATTATATTTGATTCCGGGAACCGAGGAGACTTTTTTTTAATTTTTTCTTGCACAGTAGAAAAAAAAAGATATTTTTAGGCTATCGAAAAGTTTTTTTCGCCGCTTCGAAGACCTTTGAGTGAACTATTTTTTTTTTTTTCGATGTCTCATAATATGATGGAACATATGCTGGCTTTCCGCCAATTAAAGTACTGTCAATGTCTAAGTTTGAAGAAATCTATTATACTTTTGATGTTATTCTTTTGAGACAAGCATCGGAAGATATTTTGGCAACCTTAATCATTTTATTTCGCTTACTAGGGAACTACTCGGACTCGGGTACGAGTTTCGAGTTGAAACTTTGATGGCTAATAGACCCGGGTAAGAGTACTTGGAAACAAGAGAGATTATCTGCTAAACCCAATAGGCTTCTGAGAAAAATCTTTTTGAAAATGAACAGTTTAGGCTTGAAAATTATCAAATTATTTCTTTCCTCCTTCTTTTGGCTGGAAAAATTTTTTTTAGAGTGTATCATAGCCGGATCATTCAAGGCAATTCTATTAAAGTATAAAAGAAGGTGAAAAGCAATATTCTGAAAAATTTCAGGGCTAATTTTCACATTTTCTACTAATTTTTTCTCAGTTCTCTATCGGGTTTAACAGATATTCTCTCTTGTTTTCAAGTATTCTGACTTGGGTCTACAAGCAACCAAAGTTTCAACTCGAAATCCGTACCCGAGTCCGAGTAGTTCCCTAGTTAGCAAAACCACTTGGAAAACTGTATAGATGGCGTTGCAAAAGTTTGTCCAATCTTTTGTCTTCATTTTCTCATATATATTTGCCGTTCCATGATATATTAACGCCAACCGTGTTACTAAGATGTAATTCCCACGCTCCGATTCGAAATCTGTTTAAACAAAAAAGTCGGAAAAAACGGTGGCGAGCGGCATAACGCGTCCAGACGCACAGTAATGTGCCAGCTCATGGTTTTATGGGATCGTTAGCGTGCAACAAAAGGGCAAAAGCGAGACCTTTTCTTATGCGAATAACATCATCCTGACAATTTTCTCGCGACAAGATTTGAAAGGAAGTAACATTGTGAGAATTTGAAGAAAAAAACGTTTTTTTTTCAAAGTCTGATAAAAAAATCCCAGAATTAATGGAAGATGAGAAAACTTTGCGTTTTTCAAGAATGTTATTAGTAACGCTACTCTCTCAGTCCATTATCTGAAACATGTACGTAGCTTTTTGAAGCAAAAAAAGAGCTTCATACCAATATTCCAATCAAAACCAACATTTTTTTGGCGTTTTTTTAGTCTATTTTTTTCAGTCCATCCATTTCCAAAAAAAGTTCTCTGATATTATAAATTGTAAATTGAAAATAAAAAAAGAATATCAGAAAATCGATGCAATGAAGCTGCCTTTCATTTCATTGTTTTTATGCGAAAAATTCAAGACAGCTTTTTTTGTCAAATGGATGACTCACTAAGATTTTCGGAGGATATGTGAAAGATTTCTAAATTTAACTCTTACAAAAACGCGCCACCTGAAAAATAAACGAAAATCTTTTTTTCATCAAATTCCACTTGATTGATTTTAGAAGAACTTGGAAACCGTAAACTTCGCCAGTGGCTTTTGTTTTGCGACAAAATTTTTGAGGTAACTTTTACCAGGTCGCCTAACAAATACAAAAAAGCTGTTTGACGCAATTTGAAGAGCTTTAGAAACTATTTTGGCACTTATTGATCGTATTCTTACAAGCTTTTAATACAATTTTTTCAACTCATGCTGCTGGCCATCAACAGTTCGAAGAGCATCAGCTTCAAATTTGAATCTTTTGAACGGTAACTTCTGCAAATGACTCGTGAAAATACCTGAAAAACCAGGAATCGTCTAGTTTTGAAATGTAACTCTCAATTATTTCAAAACTTAAGCTAGTCCTTTTTTGCCATTCATCCAGCTGATACTAGATTGCATTTTACGGCTGGCAAGTCTTCTACAAAAAAGTACCTCTTCTTGCTCCGCAGATGAGAAAGCTGAACATTTTTGAGCACAAGATGAAGCTGAGGAGGAACTTCGCAGTATCCTATAACCGTTTCCATATTATGAAAAAGACGAAAAAAGACGAGAAATTAGGATAAAAAGGTGTGAAAAAAACGGAGGAAGCGGTAGGCCCACCACCTGTTTATCATGATCGGGGCGGTCTTCCGGCGGAGGCGGGCCTACTGAAAAGGCGCGAACCGCCGAAGACGAAACACATGGCGGAGAGCGTGAAAACGTGCAGAAAAAAAGAACGACGTCTTTTTCGGCTCGGTGTCTTTTGCCAAATGACGAGTCTGCACTTCGACCTTTCTACTTTTCCAAAAACTACCGATTTCGTTCTTTTTCCTACGAAAACAAACGTGAAGACAATAATGAAGATAGCACAGAGCAAAGTTCTGAGTGGATAATTTAGAGGAAAACAAAAAGAGCTGCAGAATGGTTAGAGATGGCCAAAAAATAAGTTCATGAAGGTCAGGTTCTTAGATCATTTTTTTCTTTTTTTCTTTGTATATGTTCTGATTTTTACCATGAACAGAGAAAAAAAAATGAAAAAGTAACACAAAAATGCTCTAATGAGCAGAAAATCTTGTGAGGCTCACATCTCAAAAAGCTATCTGCAAGTTATAAAATCAACCTATTACACGGTATCATCTGTTTATTGATATCTTCGTTTTTTTCTAACTAACCCGCACTATTTGCCTTGTTTTGACCGAAAGATTTAAAAAAACGATAAGAAGGAGGCGATTTCAACACAAACGTCCTCACTTTCTAAAAATTAGACTGGATTTGTTTTTCTCGCTGCTTGATGATTAAGCAAAAAAATATCTCGGTGTTTTTTTCAATGGAATTCTCAAAGAATTAGATTTCCAAAATATGATCCTTCTAATCAACTAGATATGATCCTTCTAATCAACTTTTTTTGTTTTGAATCTTTGACTTTTTAGTATGAAAAAAACCAGTACCGTTCAAGAAAACTTCATTTAATTGAATCTTCAAATCAATAAGAGCAAATCAGAAATATCATAAGAAAACAGACTTCCAAAAAGCAGAATGACAACTTACGAAAAAAGTACAATATAAAAAGAGACAATTGTGGAGTAAAATCGACAAGACTAGAAATCTTCAATTTAATATATTATTACTTAATAAACGGAATCTCATCACAAACTGCACGGGGACATAAAAAAAGAAGAAAAATGAATGGAGAGTTGAGCCGGTAGGCTATCGTAGGTGGAATTATAAGCATACCCATGTTTGGTTCTGTAAATAAGACACAGTTGTGAATAAAAAACACTTCTAGTTGTTTCTATGAGATGAAGGGAATTTACAAGGAGAAAGGAAGAAATAAGTTATTTATTTATTACAATTGGGCAGGAATGGGTTTCTCGAGAGGAAGGCCGTTCTGGAGCTTGTAGGCGAGCTCAAAGGCCTGGCCCAAGGTGACGATGATCTCGGTGGCGACGTCCTGAATCGAAAAAATGTTGAGGTTTTATTTTAAGACTAGTTCAAGCTTCGATATTTCGTGATTTTCGGTTTTATCCACCGCTAACTTGAGAAAAAGTACTTTTGAGGCGTCTAACCTCTTCTTCTTTTTGCTACAGTCACCGTTTTTTTCGTAAGTTTTTTTGTCCATCATTCTCAGAAGCTGTGTTCGATAAAGATAGTACACCCCCCTCAATTTCACAATTTTTGGCAAAACTTGAGAAGATATAATAACAGGGAATGTCATCCGATTCAGCATACAGATAAACTTTTCAACCGAAACTTCATTTTTTCAGCACTTTTCTCTTTTGTAAGTCATCCAATAATTGGTTTATTGACCACCCATAGGCAAAATCGGGAAGGTGAAAACAGGCTCCAAATGAATTTTTTTTAGGGTGAAAGGGTCCCTTTTTGCGCCTTTTCATCAGCTGTTGTGCACCATTTTTGCTGCTTCTTCCTTTTTCCTTAAGCCTTCCTAATTCTTGAAAAAATGGAGAGCTCGATAAAGGGACTTTTTTGCTGCCTTTTCGCAACCTTTTTCGAGCTTCTACTTTTTAGCGGCCATTATCCACCATTCCAAATTTGTCCAAGAATAAGGATAAGACTAACTAAAAATTTCGACCTTTTCTCTGTTTTTCAAGCGAATTCTTAATTTTTTATCCTTAACGCCTGTTTCAAAGATTTTTGTGCCTCGTAGCTCCCATTTCAAAAAAATATTGAATAAAAAAATTTTCAGAAAATCGGACCGCTGTCAGGACGCAGAAAAACGTGGCAGAAGTTCTTCTCATTGTCCTGCGTAATGTACGTGAAACAGTTCAAATCGCGTTCATCTTGACAAACGATTTGAATCCTCGAAACTTCGTGCACTGCCATGACGCTCTGAAGTTAGTTTTTGGACTTTAATGTGGGCTTTTGAACTTGTTCTACCTTTTTAACGCTGTCGAGAATCCTGACGCCGTCGACAGAAATTTCCAAGAACACTTGAGGGACATTAACGATGTCGCGGATTGCCTTCTGTAATTTTTTTCAAACTTATTGAAGTTCAAAGAAGTTGTAAAAAAAACCTTCATTTTTTCCATGACTCTTCGACTTTCATCAGTACCATCAATATTGGAAATCTCAGTTTTCCCAAGGAAATGAGCTGAAAAAAGAACTCCGTCACTCATGAGCTTGTCCCGTCTTCCAAGTTCTGGATCAGGACTTTCGGAGTTCTTAGATCTGAGCCTGAAATTCGAATCTTCAATCTAAATGAAATAATTTAGATGTTACGTTTCTTTTTCCAATCGAGCGTATTCAGAATGATTATTTTTGCGAGGAGAAGTCTTGTTCAAAGCAACGGCTTCGATTTCTTCTCCTCGACGAAGAGAGTATAATATACGAGCCATGTGGCCAGGAAGTTCGACTCCAAGCTTCTGAAAGATCAAATTCTGAAGCGGAAAAAAATCCCACAAGCCTTCAAAACGGGCTTGGTGATCTCGGCCCCGCGAATAATTTTCATAGACTTGAATCCTTCATTGAGGAAGTTTCCCAAATAACTGGTCAAGTCCAAAGAACAAAGCCAATCCGAGACGTAGTAGAAGGTATCTGAAATCGTGAAGTTTCGGTTGATTTTTCAAATTTTGAAATCTCACAGGCTTCAGGATTGCGATCTTCCAGAACATCCAAGCCATGCATAATGTGCATTTGAATTGGCTCGGGAATATTTAGAGCTGCCAAGGTTTCCCATGTCAAGCTACCTTTCTGAAAAAAATAGGACGAAGGTGAGAAGTTCATAAAAGGTGATGCTCACCAGTTGATTACAGGAGTCGAATCCGTATTTGACCAGGAGAGCTCCAATGTCCCGAGCAACGGCCGAAGGCAAACCGACCTTCATTTCAAGCCATTCTGGCACGCTGAGGATGTTCTAAAAATTCCTAATTTTTTTTTGAGTATTATGAGTAGCTTTTAGTTTGGAACAGAGAGGATAAAAGTTCTTTAGAGGCTTTACGCAAATTCGTCAATTTTGCTACAAAACGGAAAGAATGAAATTATGCGGGCTGCTCGGAACTAAAAAAAGTTATTTTTGACTTTAAAGTTGAAATTTCGAAGCGAAGAGCCACTTTTGAAGTTTTTCTAATTTCACAGAACACCCCAAAAAATATTTTTGAACGGATTCAAAAAAATTGATTCACGGAAACTCTATAAAAATAAATATTGACAAAAACTTGTTGAAAAAACTGTACAGTTGCCAGCACAGTTTTTAATTAATATTGTATCAATTGAATATCCTTTTTTAAAGATATAGCAAAGATTATTTGTACACGAAAAGCCTCAAAACTCCAACGGATGACAAAAACCCCTAATGACATTTTGAAACTGCGACAGATCAAGTAGAAAAGCACGAAAGCAAAGCGCACCGTCGGCTGACGGCGTTCCTTATCGAGTTCAATGGAGTTGGGTCGAGTGTTGAGGGGAGAGTTGACCAACTGAAGGGTGAGCGCTTGGGACCTTCGATCTCTCAGAAAAACGGCGACTTGAGGCTCGTATTCCCTCATGAAAACCGATTCGCGGCAAGGTGCGGCTCCGTAGGACGCCAGAATCTCGTCGATCTGAAATATGGAACCCTGACTAACCACCTCACGTATTTGAAACAAGAAAACGACAGTGAAAAGTTGGAGAAAACTTTTTTTGATTAGTCCAAGTCAATTTTGATCACAGCGAAGAGTGAAATATCATTCTTTTTTTCTCTAATATCATTGAAAAAAATTGTTAGCACGATTTCTTAACCGCAGTAAAAATAATATCAGGATAAGACTCTAAATAACCTGAGAAAAAAAGGCTTTTTCAAGTTTTTGAGAATTCGGGAAAAAAATTCGCGGAAATGTAGTTTGAGGTCATTCGACCCCACAAAATATTATATTTTAACATTTTTGGAGCTCCATAGTCTGAGCGCTATGAGTGCAATGTGAAAAAATAGTTTACAGCACATCGAAGCGCAGTGACTCAACTAAAAGCCAAAATCGGATGGAAACTTTTTTGACCAGAAAAAGGAAGCAAATGAACAATTCTGCATCTTTTCATAATACTTAATACCTGCCAAAAAAAAATTCATAATATGCAGTGATTATTTTATTTTTTCGCAGTAAAATCTAACTTATCCAAAATTTAGCTTTTCACGAAATATCATATAACTTGAAAATACGTTTTCGAATTTCCAACTGATCACGTTACATCACGCTACAGCGAATTTGGGTTCACTCAAAAGTTTGAATTGTTTCGCGGCGAGTTGAAAGGTTATGACTTGTCGGCGGCTCCTCTTCTATCTTATTTACACGGACTCAGCCATTCCCACAGTTCAAATCGCTTCAAATGGCCATTATTTGGGTTCAAATGGACAAAGGATTCAAACATTGATAGGTTACTCTGAAATGGGGCGAAAATCATTGGGTAACTAACTTTTTCCCAGGTTCTCGGAATTCTGAGAAATAATAGAGGTTCCATTTTGTACAAATTAAAAGATCTCTGAGAAGTTTAGTTTTTTGCTAGCTCTACTACTTCCCTTCAGGATACCTTAGTTATCTAAAACCAAAGATTTTCGCTTTTTTGGCGATGAATTTTCAATACTCAGCCAACCATAATTTTCGAGCTAATTTTCTCTGAGATCAATTTTTTTGATCCGTTCAAAAACTCAAACGAATCACCTGTTTCCATTCCTCGGCCATATTTATCGAGCGCGAACTTCCACTCGTAGTTTTGCTAGAAGTGCTGTCCGGACTGCGGAATTCGGGCCTCAATCGAACTTCAGAGCCGCTAGAACGAACGATTTCATCGAGTCTCGTGAGACAAGACTTACAGAAGGTTGGCATCATTACGCGTGGGCGATTTGACAGACGGCGGAGTGTGCGATATTTGGGAGATCATTTGAAGGGAGCAGGAGGACGCCATTGTGCTGTCGCTGCAGTCTGCAAAAAGGTTACTGATCATAAAGGGATTTTGTTCAGAAATCATTTTTTCAACAGATCTGAAAGAAAAAAAACTCACCGGTTCCAGCTGGAGAGAGCGGAGCGGCCGCGCTTTTGCTGTTGGAAGACAATCTACGACCTCTAGGTGCGGTCTGAGGTTTCAAGAAAATATTCAGAGTTGAAGACAAAAAAAAGTACCGATCCATAAAGAGCGTCGAAGATCACAGCCTGCGAAGTGTTCGGAGACGGTGGACTTCCAGGAGAGGACGCCTTTTCGAAGTGTTCCCCGGGAACCTAGAAAATTCAAATTAAACGTGATTAATATAAAATGTGTCTTACCTTAGAGCCATTTGCAGCATCTTCGTAATTTGCAATGATTGTCTGAATATCGTCATATTTAGAAAGGAAAACTTGAAAATTGACTCACGACGCTATTTTCTCGAGATTCCCGATCTGAATTCATACTGTTGCTCATCAAGCTGTTGGTGGTGCTGCCAGTGAGTTCTTCCGGCATGGCTAGAGGAGCACGACCTTGTTGCATGCTTCTGATTGAAGGTGAGCCTCCTGAACGCCAAAAAAAATGAATGAATCGGCTTTTTTTTAACCAACTGAATATTTCTTACATATTGGTTAAAATCTGTGAAGATATACTTGGCTCTAATTGTGAGAAATGCGTCAAAAACTACATTTTTAAATGTTGAAATGCCTGGGAAAAGTGAATCACCACAAGTTTTACTTGCACATGAAAAAACTAGATTTTGAAGAAATGAAATATTCATTCAATTCGGTTATTTGGAAATCTCATCTCCCTAATAATTTCATAAACTTTTCTGAATTTCTAACCTTTAAACTTTGAAATTAAGAGAGGAAGCATAATATTGAACAATGTTTCCCGAAGGATTCTTGTTTATCGACGTTTCTCGAACCATTTTCGCTCCATTTCGAAAACTTCCCAGACACACGTCATTATTGGAAATTAGTAAAACGGACGTGCTCCGGACGTTTTTGGGCGATTCTAGGGATTACTTAAGAGAGTCGAGGCTACTAAAGTGGACCCTGAAAATGCCCCGACACGTCCGATCCGCGTCTCGTTATTTCAACTCCAGCTTTCAAAAAACAATTTTGGAATTATCGTGTATGTTCTTTCCTGGATCATTTCAAACATTCTTTCCTCCTCAAAAAGTTTTCAATACTTCCCTAGCCTTAAAAAACAACTAAGCAACAAACCCGAAACTTTTTCAATTTTTTTCCCTTAATAAAAACCAGCATTTTTTTGAAATGAGTCTTTAAAAAGCTGTTTTTATAACTAATGTATTTTTCTAACACCTTTTTTTGTTACCTTTTAGTAAAAGAAAAAAATCAAAACCTCTCTCCAAAGTCGAGCAAGCGAAAGTCAATGAAGAAACGACGCTGCTGGCCCGAGTGTCCAATCTCGGGCTATTTGTTAGGCCCAGCGATTCTTCACGATCACAAGTGGTTCGGGAACCATTGATTCCTGGAAATGCATTTCATTCCTTCAGAGAATTTCTTCTTCGCTTTTTAAAGTTTTTCCTTTGTTTTCTCACAAAAAAATCAAAAAAACATTAGGAAAAGAAATTATTTTGTTTATGCGAATCTTTTGCGTTCTAATTTGATCATTTCCTTGCTTTTTCAAACTTTTTGATATATTTCGAAGCTGTTTGTAGTTTCGATATGTTTGCTAAGTTTTCCGGAAAATCATAAATTGGTTGGGAATGTTTTCCAAATTTCGGGCTTCTCGACTTTTTTTGAAGGTTTTGTAGACTCATTCGTTCCGACTCTTATAAAACGTTGAAATTAGCTTTTTTTCAAGTTTTAAATGTATTTTCAGTCCTATTGGATTGAATTTAATAGTATCTTAAAAATCAATGCTTCGAAAAAAGTTCGAATTAAAAAACCATGAATGTATTTCCACGCATTTTTCTTCTTTTTTGACATCCTTAACTTCTTTTTTTTCTTGCTTTAGAGTACCCACTTGGCCTGTTCAATTTAGCGGAACCAGGAGAGTTAATAGCCTGTTCCGCAATCGGAGAGAAGGTTTGTCCAATTGGAACCCGAGCTCGGATACGACCTGAAAATTGAATATTAAAGGTTATTTTCAAAAAAAAAAAACATACCAGCTGGGAGAGTCTGAGTCCCGTCATGAATTTTCAGTTCATTGAGCTGATTGGCCATGGCTCTGCCAATCGATCCAGTGCAAACTTGGTCCCAAGGTCTGAAAAATATCGAAGTTTAGCAGTTTTCAACTTACAGTTTTAAGGCTTATTCACATCATTTTGACTTCAATTATAAAAGTTTCTAGTGTTTTTTTAAAAATCGATTATTGATTTTTAATAGCTCATATGCATTATTTTTAACTGCAATTTATACTTTTTTTAAAGTTATTAATTTTTAGGATAGACTTTTTTAGTCAAAGTCGAAAATTTGCTCATTCGACACTCACCTTTCCTGCGGAAACGCGTTTTCGTAGACCAGCGAATTTTTCGGGACGTTATCATATCCCATGGCACTTGGCCCGTTTGAAGGGTAGTTTGGAAGTGCAGCCGCTCTGCTTTGCTGCCAAACGTTGTACTGCGGCGGCGGTGCTCTGTAGACGTCAGAACCTTGTTGAGGCAGAATGGACCCTGTAAAAACAATTCAGTTGTCTTTAAGCTTTTTCTCGCAATATTTGTTTTTAGCAGAAGACCAAAAGTTCAACAACTGTAAAACCCATTCCGGCCCATATTCCACAGATTTACGATGTTGTTGCAGAACCCCACCTCGTGGATTAACAGGTTTGGTTCGAACACCAGAAAAGTTCACAGGAAGGGTATCGCTGGTCCTTTGAGAAGCGTTGTGGCGAGATTTGTTGTAGGGAGAGGTAATGGGAAATCGGGGCACTCCTCCGCTGTCTGAAAACTTCAGTGTGTTTTTTTTCTAGTATGAGAACAAAGATCTATCAGTTCTCTAGGAAAGAAGATTGTTCAAAAAAAACTTTGAAAACTTTATCAGTCATTTTAAAATCTTATACGGTTTGGGCCGGTCAATAACAGTGTGCGAAATAAACAAAGTTTCTCAAAAAAAAAATCCTTCACTTTTTTCTATCACAAATCGCAAAATGATCATCATGAAGCCCCAAATTTGATAAACACCATTAGATCATCATTTAAACCTCAGAAGATTTTCCACGCCGCTTCAACTTTAAATTTCTCCAACTTCCTACCAGCTGATTTTATTTCATTCGTTTTTGATGCAGATTCGACCAATAAAAGTCTGATCATTGAGAAAAAATTCCAAAAAAAGTGAAGCTCACCATACATACGGCTATTCCAAGTGCGGTTCAAAGTAGTGCTAGGATAAGCGTGTGTAGTGTCGCTCATTGTGCTGAAATTAAAACTTTCATCGATATGTTCATTAATTTCAAGTTTCTAACCTCAAATCAGCAGTGGAACCACCCGGCGAAGCTCCTCGCAAATCAGCCTGAATTTTAAAAAAATCAGAAAAAATTCAGGAGAACTCACATTTAGGTATAGAGGTGAGTTAATGCGTTGAACTTGCTTTCGCTGGTCTTGGTAATGAACTAAAAAATATAAGATCAAAAATAAAATCTGAAACAAGTGAAGCTTGAGCTCACCACTGGCGTTGGTCGGTAATTGCTTCCAAATGACGTCGCGATCATTTTCGTTTGACTGGCTTCTTCTTGTGAATCTTTCCGAATCCCTCCGATCGATCCCGGAGTCACTGGATGAGTTTAGTTGATCAGACTGGAGTCTTTTGGTGCCTTCTGAAATTTTAAATCGAAGTGAAGAAAATAATTATAGGGAAGAATTGATTCATTATGAAAAATTATGCTTCAAGTAGGCTTTTTTTTGAATAGTTATAGTTATCATTCATTCATCCTTTTAGGAAAGCCTCAACCTCTCGAAATGTTTGCCCTTTGTAATAATAAAATAATTCGAAGTAAGAAGTTGCAGAACTTTATTCAGAAATATTTTTTTTGAGTACTTCATAGGTCTAAATCTTTACTTACTACGTCGCATATATTTTTCAAAAAGAGTTTGAAGGCTAAAAGAAATTTTTTTAAGGGGTCTTCTAAACGGAAAGACTTTCCAACAAAGGTTTCAAAAATTTCCATTGATAATTAGAAAAGTTCTTCAATTTAATTAGTGAGGAATCGGACCAGAAAATGTCGAAAACTCACTAAATCTATCGAAACGTGGGTGGAACATAATAAAAACTGCGCTAGTAATAATATAAGCCAACGAAGAAACATGTACAACTCATGTCAAGCTCTGTGGAGCCCAAAATCCCTGTTACAACTCAACTTCCTCAAAAAAAAAGAGTTTTCTCCTCTCGTTCCCCAAAATCAAGAAACAGTTGTTTTGGAGCCCATCAGTAATGGAACTCGCTTGATTCATCAAATCAATTGGAGGCAATGAATCACCTTCAATCAGTCGCCGACATTCTGCCCATCCATCTCTGCTTTGAATGATTTGTGTAACTTCGGAGCCTCCTTGAGATTCCCGTTCCGTCAACGCTTCGAGAGCCGTCTGGCCTCGCGAGTTGCAGATGTCCGTGTTGATGCCTGCAATAAAAATGTTCAGTTTCAGCCGTAACTTAATTTCCGGAATATGCACAAAATGCTGGAAATTTCTTAAGAAAGCTCACTAGAGGATATACGGTCATAATTCTTGAGACTTTCGGAAAACTGATCGAAAATTTCCCAGAAGAGCCTGAGAGCCTCAGATTGAGCTTTTATTTTAGAAGACTATTGCCGAAATTTTCGTTTTTGTTTTTCAAAAAGAACTTATAGTTTTAAAGCTTCTGGTCATGATTTTAAATAAAATCTCACGACTTTGACTTAAAAGTAAGATAGAAAACGCCAAATTTCTCACCTTCACGAATCAAATATCGGACGGCTTTGACTTGGCCGAAAATAGCAGCAACGTGTAGAGCAGAGCCTTCCTCGGTGACAAAATTGATGTCGAACCCGTTGTTCCGAAGCACCTGGAAAACAAGGAGTAAGTTTTTTACGTACGAGAAGATTATAGGAACAAAAACAAAATTGTAATCTACTCCTTTCGAAAAATCCCAAAACTCTGAAAAAATACTCCACCTCAGTGATTATAAAAATAGTCATTTGAGACAAACCAAAAACAGCCAGAGGATGATTTTTTGATAAATGAGTATTGCAAGATTTTTTTTTCATTTTTTGCCTGTTGCTAGATTTGACGATTTTTCAAATTTTCTCAGTTTCAGACTTTTCCGTCTTTTTAAAAGTCTCAATTCAACGTTTTTAATAAACTTTTCGAAAAGTTACCGCTAATATAAGCTCCTGAAACTGTGAATTAGAGTTTGAAACTCTTGAAAGATTGAGTTTTTCGACCTTACGGGAGGTTTCTGAGAGTTTCAATGGAGTAATAAAAGTCAGTAAATCCCCCAACTCTACAGCACTTGACTGCAACACTCCAAAACTGAGCCTTTCTCACAATCGCGGCTGAATAATCCCATTCACAAGACAGTCCCGTATTTGTTGGTGTGCACACTTTGCCGTTAATAAGTGTTGCGTACCTGTAAACACTCAATATGAGAATTTCTGGCGGCGGCGTGCAACGGGTACACGACGACGGCCTTCTCGTTGAGAGTCGTCGACGAGGATTCCGCAGCCGACTGAAATTTCAAATCAGTGATAAAATCTTATTAGAAAGGCTGTTTTGAATCGCCGTTAGGAATTTTTTGGAAATTTTCTGGATACTTCAGCCTATTTAATAAAGATCCTAGAATCTTTGAAAGCTTCCCAATTTTTTTCGGAGCTTTTTTGATAGTCTTAGTTTACTTCGAAGAGATTTTTTTGAATTTAAAAAAACTTTTCAAGGTGAGCGTTTTTCCAAACTTCCAATGAGCATCTGAGATAATTTAGGAGAAAAACTCAAAAATTATTCAAAAAAAGCTGTTCAAAATGATTGCTATTAAATATTGCTTTTTTTGAGATTAGAAAAAAATTGAAATAGGCTATTTCGTTAATTTGCAAAAGCTACTGCAAGCTCTGAGAACAATTAAAAAAAAATTTTTTTACAGGTTTGCTGTTTTTTTATATTTTTCAAAAGTTGTGAGAAAAAGAGGGAATTTAAGGCCAAAAATGTTCGGAAAATAGGTCTGTCCCGATTGCAATTCCTAACCCTCTTCAAAGCCCTTCTACTTCCGAGCATCAATAGAAACATTTCTTCTACAATGACACTTATTTCCCTAACTTCAACGACTTTTTATTATTTTGGCCGCATTTTCCCCCGTCAAGAACTTTTCAGAGATCCGTAACACGACACCGCCGTACGCAAGGAGTGCGGCGCGAAGTAAAACGATCGCGTTTGCGTAATTTCAGGTTTTTAACGGCTTCTTTAGAAATGCGAGCCCTTCCTATTTCCAGCAGAAGGAAAAAAAAGAAGGAAGCTAGTTGTACCTGAAGCGTGAGTTCAGGAACGTTTCTGGCCAGGATGTTGCAGACTTCGGCATGGCCAAGACGGGCGGCAATGTCCAGTGGTCCTTCTCCTCTCACATTTCGAAGTGTTGGATTGGCGCGCTTCTGAAATAGTTTCAAAATAGAAATATCACAGTTTGGGTCGAAAAGTGTTCAAGTTATCGTGCTGGAAAACTAAGAATGAAAAATTCAATCAAAAAAGTGATGATTTTATGTTGACTTCAGCAAGGTTGCTCAAACCGAATATTGATTTAATCTCTAAAAAAATTTTCTTTTCGAACCTTAGCTATTAATCTTCGTACTTCTACGGCTAACAAACGAGAAATATCGCTTATTGATTCATGAACAAACAATATGAAAGCTTTTTTTTTTTCAAAAACCTCAAAAAATCACCTCCAAGAGCAGTTTCACAATAGCTCCATGTCCATGTTGAGCAGCCAGATGCATCGGAGTCTCAAGTGTCGAATTTGCGTAATCTACACTTTCAGGAAGAGCCGCTATCAACATCTGAACATTCTAGGTCGCTGCCGTATTTTATATGTTTAGGTGAAACATTTGAGGTTATTTTCTACAAATTTTTTTCAAAGAATGTTTTATTTTAAACCTTCAGCTCTGAGTTCGTAGACTTTGTGAATTTCTCGCTTGTTTTAGGGCTCAAATAGTTTCAAAACTTTTGAAATTGTGCAAAAAAACTTTTTGGCAAATTTCCCTTATTTCCAACTTTCCAGCTTTTCATGAATCTGATTTTCAAGTTGAAAATTTATATTTTAAAAGTTTGACTGATCCCTAGAATTCTAGAATCCTTTCTCATCCTAACAAACAAGAAAGGTCTAAATCCGTCGAATTACCTAGAAAACCCAGCGATAAATCGCTGAACCCGGATGAAAAATGAACGGAGGGCGTTCTCACCTTGACGATGTTGAAGTGACCGCACCAAGCGGCGAGATGGAGTGGCACGCAGCCTCGCTTGTCCTTGCACATGGCTAATTGGACCTCGAAGTCCAGCAACAGTCTGAATCAGCGGAAGTCATCAATCAACTTCTTCAACTCGCTCCGGTATACAATGAGAATGGAATTTCTTTTCGGGCAATATGAGTTCGTACAGTGCGGGACAAAACTATAAAGGCCCCCTGGTTTTTTTCAAGTTTTTTGGAAAAAGGCAGATGTCCTAGATTGTTAATGTCAATAGATTTTTGCGTATTTGAAAACCTACGCATACCAAGTTTGGTCTCTGTCGGTTGCCGTTGAAGCGAATGAGAAAGGAAAAAAACGAAAAAAATTAGGTGGGACAAAACTATAAGACCCCCTCTCTTTTTTGATTAAAATCAAACTTTTTACCCAGAATCACTTTCACTGTTCCAGTAAATTTCTGTTCATAACAACTTTGAGCATCTTTCAGCTGCGGTTGAACTTCCCTTTCAATTTGAGAAATCTACGAAATTTGTTTTTAAATTTTTGAATTTTTGTTCTTTGGAAACTTTGGGCTTTCTGGCTGTTTCGTTTCAGAGAGCAACCAAAAAAATTCTGTTACATTACTGAAGGTTAAACATTTGAGAATGATTGTATAGCAAAAACCCGATCAAAAAAAGTTTGAAAGACTCGAAAAAAATATGATTTTTTGATGATCAAAAACCGTCATTCTATCGGGTTGAGGCTGAAATTATAAGTATTACTACATGATACACATGCTAATAAAGCTTCAATTGAGCTGGAAACGTGTTTAAGAACGTTTCAAAATAAACTTTGATGCGAAAAACCGAGAAAAAAATTTTTGTTCGCTTCAGCCTCTACCCATTTTGATTGACGTCAATAATGGAAAAAAAGTTAACCGACCCATAAAACGATTTTTTAATTTTATATAATTTCAAAATTTTCAAATTTTTGAATTGTGTACATGTTGCTCTATTAATGGTTGGAAACAATTCAGAGCGCAAATAAAAATAAAACGAAAAAGTTAGTTTCTGAAAAAGACCATCAAAGTGAACCAAAGGATTTTTTTAAAAACCGTTGTTAGCAAACTAAATAGTGTGCCTTTAGACTTCAAATTGTATCCGATGAGAAGCTGAAGTTTCTTAAGTACATGCCAAGACTAATTCTTCTTCGTCGAGTATCATCTCATGGAGTAATACTTGGAATTTCAGCCTCAACCCGTTAGAATGACGGTTTTGATCATCAAAAAGTCATATTTTTCGAGTCTTTCAAACTTTTTGATCGGGTTTTTGCTATACAATCATTCTCAAATGTTTAACCTTCAGTAATGTAACAGAATTTTTGGTTGCTCTCTGAAACGAAACAGCCAGAAAGCCCAAAGTTTCAAAGAACAAAAATTCAAAATTTAAAAACAAATTTCGTAGATTTCTCAAATTGAAAAAGAAGTTCAACCGCAGCTGAAAGATGCTCAAAGTTGTTATGAACAGAAATTTACTGGAACAGTGAAAGTGATTCTGGGTAAAAAGTTTGATTTTAATCAAAAAGAGAGGGGTCTTATAGTTTTTGTCCCACCTAATTTTCGTTTTTTTCCTTTCTCATTCGCTTCAACGGCAACCGACAGAGACCAAAACTTGGTATGCGTAGGTTTTTCAAATACGCAAAATCTATTGACGTCAACAGTCTAGGACATCTGCCTTTTCCAAAAACTTGAAAAACCAGGGGGGTCTTATAGTTTTGTCCCGCACTGTAGTATGCACAGTTTCGAGTAAAAGTTCTTCTTATGTGAAAAATTTTGTACTTAGTTTTCTGATAGCGGTTTTTGATAATAAAAATTCTTGATTCGAGTTGAGCTACTGAGCAAAAATATTTTGATAAAAACAGTTTTTCAAAATTTAACATTAAAAATGTTTCAAAACAGGGAAGAAATAACAAAAATTATGCCAGAAAAGGAAAAATTTTTGTTAGGTCAAAAAGTTATGAAGTTCCATTAGATCATTTTCCCTTTCAACTTTCTTTCTTCAAAAAGTTTATTCATTTTCGAAACCTCAAAAAAGTATCTATATGACTCAAAAGAATACAAAAAGGTGAAGCATAGCGTTTATTTTTGTCGTTCATGATTTTTATGTTTATCACACACTCTATTTCTTCGCCTCAGTTAACTAGAAATTTTGAAAATTTCGAAGAATCAAGCGTGAAAATTGACAAAAAAACTCAGTTTTTGTTGTTATACACGTCTAAATAGACAGGCAAAATCAAAGTGACTTGTAAGGTTATTCCTTCTTGAAAAGCCTTTTTGGCAACAATTCATGACAGAACAGAATATTCTGCGTTTCGGAACTATCAGATATTTTTCCACTTATTTAAACTTATTTTCAAATGAGTGGAAAAGCGTTTTTATATTTTTAAAATCCGTTGTCCATCGGAATGTCAAAACGTCTCATACTTGCTGATTTGCTCATGTCCTTTGAGAGCCGAGTAGTGGAGTGTCGTATACGTTGATGTCGGATCTCTCAGAGCTGCCAGATGGTTCGACGCCGACGAAGCCCGAAATATGCTAAACACACTCTGATTTGATCAACTCCTCCAAAAATTTAATTAATCCCCCGGCCACTATATTCATCAGCTTTGAGCTTCGATAATGAGATTCGAAGCCGGATAAGAATGGATAAAAACAATCGCCGTCTAGAGGAATCGTGTTACACGTATTGCTGAATACGTTCTTGTTTTCGGCAAAAACAACAGATTTTTCACCTCGGAAGATATGATGCGTTGCTTCGCAGCGACTTTGTCGGGCCGCAGCGGCGACAACTCTTCGCTGGTCGCCACGGCACGGTGCTTTGGCGATTGCTTCGGTGTCGTGTAGCGATCGCTACGCTGATTGTAGGCGCTAATTGAACGTTGACGGCGGCGCGTCGACTTCGACAGCGCCGCCGCTACGGTTGGGGCAAGCGACAATAGGCCTGAAAAGTTTCGATATGAAGCAGGAAGCCTGGAACTCACAGCATCGCTTCCCGGTCCGCCGCCTCCCGGCGCCTCTGGCTGTCTGTCGCTTCCCTGGCTGGACGGGCTGGCCATCTGGTCCGGCCGGTCCTGGAGAGCCCTGCGGATCCGAACTCCTGGCTGTCCATCCTGTCCTGGCTGACCGGCTTGTCCAGCTGGTCCTGGAGCCCGGGCCGGTCCTGGCAGTCCTCGTCCTCGTTTTCCGGGCTGACTGGCACGTCCAGGCCGACCATCACCTCTGGAGCTCCAGGCGCCCCAGCGTCTCCGGCTGGTCCTGGGGTCCGGTGTCTCTGGCTGGACTCCTTCTGAGCCGTCTTGTCCTGGCTGTCCGGCCGGGCCTGGCGGTCCAGGGGCGCTTGTCCTGGAGCTCCGCTATCCTATGTCTAGCTGGACACTGAATGCACCAGATCCAATCTGAAGAGCTACCGCCACCCACGCCAGAACTTCCAGGCGCTCCGGGTTTCCTGGATGACCATCGTGACCGCCTCCAGCGGCCCGTGAT